TATATGAATAAACGGAAATTATATATGAATTTTTAATATATCAATAGTTTTTATCAGATAGATTGATAGATTGATGTATTCATAATGTGGCTTGCATTGATCTATATATATGCATATTTATGCTTGTGTATGACTATTAGTATTCTTGCACATAAAAGTCACACAGACGCACGCACATGAATATTTACGTCTTCGTTTTTTATATATTTTTAGATAAGAATTGTACAACTTGGAAGCAATTTAAAAGAACATTCTTCTACACATCTTTGTATATAGTCTGTATTTACTTATCTAACATTTTCATTTTTCAAGGTGATCCCTCTCCCCAACCATCAAAAAAGAAAAAAAAATGAGTGACCTAGGGTGGGAGCGTTTGTAAGATGTTATTATCTGCTAATAGGATTTAGTGTTTGGGAAGGAAGGAAGGAAGGAAGGAAGGAGGGAAGGAAGGAAGGAAGGAAGGAAGGAAGGAAGGAAGGAAGGAAGGAAGGAAGGAAGGTGAATTTTAAGAGAAAGAGGCAACGAATGCAAAAATGGGGAAAAAAAATGTTAAAATACAATAAAGAAAGAATCTTTAAAAAGAATTAAAAGAAAAGCGAGCGAAAGAAATAAATAAGAACAAAAAATTATAAGCATATTTAACTGTGAAATACAAGACTGAAGAAGAAAATATAGGAAAGAAGAGACGAGGAAAGAGGTAAAGAAAAATTGTAAAAGAAAGGTGAATAGGCAAAAAAGTACAATGAATGAATGAAAGAAAAAAGAAGAGAAAAAGAAAGAAAACTATTTGGCAAAGCAAAAGGAAAAGAAAACGAATAAGTCGCAGTAAGTGAAAATGTTAAATAAGGAAAGTATCAACAAAAAATATTAGTGGAATGAGAAGGTCAAATATTTATGGAAGAATAAAGATTTCGAAGAGAAGTTATGAGAAAAACTATAGAGAAAAAAGAAAGGAAAAAGAAAGAGAACTAAATAATAAAGGAACAAATGAATGAATAAGATAGATAGATAGAGAGAGAGATAGGGGGAAAGAGCTTGCGAGTCAGTAAAAAGAAAGAGAAAGTGAACGATTAAGCGATAAAAGGACTGGGAAAGATGAAAATTAAAAAGAAAGAAAGATGAGAGAAAAAGAGAAGAAAGTGATTTTGAAGCGTAGAAATTAAACCAAAAAGAAAGAAAGAAAAAAGCCTAAAAAAAAATATGACTGCTCAAGAAAGCATGAATAAAACAGAATAGCGGTTTCGTCTTCGTTCCCTTCTTTCTAAAACATAAAATTCACTACTTAAGCAATCATTACTTGTTTAACTCCGCAAATCGAACAATATTGGCGGAAGAGAAGGTGAAGAGAATGTTCGCTACTAAATTTGAATAAAAAACGGTTGGAACATTTGAAAGAATAAAAATATCGAATATTGTCAAAAAAATGAATTCAGGAAAATCAATAATAAAAATCCTGACCATAACTGAAAAAAAAAAAAAGAAGAAATTATCGATTCCCTTTCTAAAGAAATTGAATATTGTTTTCCAGATACGCATGTGTTTTTATTGAAAAATGAGGGAGAAATACAACGAAAAAGAGAGAAAGATTGAAAAAGAAACAGAAATGGATGAGAGGAGTGAATAAAAAAAATAGAAGATGTATAGAGAAAGTCAGTAAGAGAGAAAGATGGAAAGAAAAATGAAAAGAGGGGTTGTGGCGAGGAGGAGCAAGATACAGATGGGAAAATAAGAAAGACAGAGGAAATAAGAGAGATGAGATAGAGCGAGGAATTAGGAGAAGGGGTAGAGTAAGAGGGTGAAAGAAGGATTGCGTAAGATAAAGGTAAGAGAGTAAAAAAGAAAAAAAAGGAGGAGGCAGGAAGTAATAGAGAGGGATTGAGATAACGAGATATAAAGAAAGAAATAAAAAAAAACGAAGAGTGGGAGGAATAAGACAGACAGTGAAGTGAGAAAGCGAGAGGAAGTAAGAGAGAAGAGATAGAGGGAGGAAGTACAAGAAAAAGGGAAGGAATAAGGAAGATAAATAGATGGATGAAAGGAGAAAAACGGAGAGAAAGAGGAGGGAAGGCGTAAGAGAAAGAACCGAACGGATGGAAGAAGAAAAAAGAGAGATGGATGGACGGAGAGCAGGAGAGAGAAACAGAGAAATAAAAGATAGGGGTGGAATAAGAGAGAAAGGAAATAAGAGAGAGACAGATACAGAGACAAATACGGATGGTGTAAAAGAGAATTAGAGAGGGGAGGGAGAAAAACCGATAGAGCTGGATAGACGGAGAGAGTGACATAAACAGACAGAGGAGTAATAAAAAGAGATGTAAAGATAGTAAAAGAGGATAAAAGGAACGAAGTGAGGACGCGAAAGAAAGATACAATGATAGAAGGGAGCATCTATCTATCTATCTATCTAATCTCGGTCTGTTCATATCGATTTAATCCCGGCCTGTTCATATCTATCTATCTATCTATCTATCTATCTATCTATCTATCTATCTATCACCCTGTCTTCATTATCTATCTATCTATCTATCTATCTATCTATCTATCTAACAAACTAATTATCTAACTTTTTATCTATCTTTTAGTTGTTTGAAAATCAAGCATTTTTTTATTGATTGATTGATTTATTGATTGATTTTTTTTTGATTGATTGATTCGTTTTCTACGGCTTATCAACCTATTGCAGCTTATTTAAAGCCAGAAAATATTTTTTGATTGTAAGATATTTCTTTTTTAGATAATAATGATGTAGTGACCCAAGTTTTACTAATTAACCCCGAGGCACATAAGTGGATATAACCAACCCAACTGTAGTTGGAACTCGGAGACTATAGGTAAAAATTGGCCAAGTTTATACTGGAGTCAATAGATAAATATTGACCTGATTTATACTTGAGTCTATAGGTAAACTTTGGTCGGGTTTATACTTGGGTCTATAGGTAAAAATTTGTTTGTCTTATACTTGAATGTCCGGGTAAACGATCGTCAGGTTTAGACTTGAGTCTATAGATAAACATTGGTAGGATTTAGACTTGAGTTTACAGTGAAATATTAGTTAAGACTTGACTCTGCAAATAACCACGGAAACTGACCCTTTTGTGCGCTGTTACCCTCCTGCAGGAAATGCAGTCGGTGTTTTATAACGAGGCAAACTGAATAGTCAGTTCGATTCTCAATGAGCGTTCCATACTTAGCGACAATTTTTGAAGCTAAGCTTAGTAAACAATTTCTAAAGAATTAATGGATTTATTTTTTAATCCGATGTTTTTATTCTTTTAAACGTTATTATAGTGGGTATTTCGTATTTTAAATAAACGCCACATTTTTATTTATTGAACAACGTGTATTATATCTGCGCATTCGAGAAATCTTAGAAAATAAAATGCGTTCTTCGGCTGTAGTAAATTATACGTAAAAAAAAAACAAATGTAAAAACAATTTGAGTTAATATTGTTAATTAATGTCAGCGGTGTAAAGAAAGAGTAAAGGACCTTTTATTATTTTGAGCAGGCGAAGTTCCTATTTATTAAGCGTAGCTTAATTTGAGTATAAGAGCACAAGTCTATAGCAGTAATAAAAATCAAACTTATTATCTCATTATCCTTTACTAATTTATAACCAGACGAACTCGCTAACCATTCTCCCACGGAAAAAGGCCTCTGAACCTCGATGTTGTTCGTTGAATAATTGAAGATATAGAAAGGAAAAAAATATTTATAAAAGCCTTTCCAAGTTCCGTTCTATCCTTTGGTCTTTCGTGAAGTGCAGATCATAGACCAATAATGCACACGTTTAATCAGTCTTTGAATGATAATTTCTTCACGATCTTTGCAACTATTAACACATCTGTTCTCTTTCGATCACTAGAGTTAAGCAACGTCAAACCTTACCAGTATCAGATGAGGGATCGCTTGGGAACATCGAGTACTGTAATCAAGTTCTTACAACCAATTTCAGTTTTAAATAACCCACAAAGGGTAGAGAAGCCGTAAAAATAAATCAAGCAACCAATTCCAAGGAGAGAATTGTCTATTCTACAAAACACAAGGCTATAGATTTATCAATTATTCAGCCTGATCCACACTTAGGAGCAATGAAGTATTCCATTGTTATGGAAGAATTACTTAACGATAATAAGCTTAATGTTACCATAACTACAGAATATCTCATTAATATGTCGGAGAGACGAGGCTGCTAATATATTACTTATGAATTTGTTTCGTGTTTTCTTTTTTGTTGGATATTTTTAAAAATTTTAAATCAGAATTCACTTTCATATGATTCAGGGTTAGCAGCTGTGCAAATAAAAAAAGTATTTCATGCGGGAAATATAACCAATACAACCACAAAAATAATACATTTTTTGACAATGTGTGACATGAGGGTAGCGTAGCGGTTATCGGCTTATTTCCATTATTCAGACTATTGTCCTCATCTTTGTTGTCATATTTATCACAACGTTTCGGCCGTTGTACGCTCCGACCTTCTTCACATGGTTGGAATGTAAAACTGAACCCTTTATTTCGCTCGCTGGGGTAGACTGTTCTAGTTCCACGTGCCATGTCTAATGGATGTCAGTTATCAGTTATCTCCTGTGAATTCCCCTGTTCAAGTTTTCCACTGCCTTAGCCAGGTATTGAACTGACAACAAAGATGAGGACAATAGTCCGAATAATGTAAATAGTGTACATAACACATCATCTCAGAAATATAGACAGATACTGAAAGGTGGATTTGTTTATGTTTTTACTGGTTATCAACCCTTTATTATGGGTTATTTAAAACCGTAACTTATTTTGGATTGTAACAATTTTTTTCTTTTTTTTTTGCCTGTGAATATTGCATTAACATTTTTTTCTTTTAGAATAAAAATAATTTCTTCCGGATACAAGTCTTAATATTTAACCCATAGCTAGGGAGGGTATATGGATTCATACCTTTCTTTGCGGGTAAGTGATTGCAACGAACCCTGCTGAAATTCGAACTTGGCTCTCCGATTTCTCATTCCGAGCCACTATCCATTCTGCAGCTAACTACTGGTGCGGAAGGAAGTGTTGCATTTACTTCGCATTATTTTCCTTTGGGGATGGCATGAATCTCTCAAATTCTCTTCCAACAATCCTCAGCTATGAGTTAAACTGTAGGGTAGACTGGAGCCTCGAGTATTCAGGTTAGTGAAGGAGGACTACGCTGAATGTTTAGAAGGTAACGAGAAACTACTCAGCAAGAAGTAATTTCACATCATTAAAGAAAAGAAAGCTGGGGTGATCGCTGAACGACTAGATCTTGAAGAGGGTGGCGTTTAAAAAAAATGGCTAAACTAGCTCGTATATAAACGTTGTTTTTTTTTGCATCTCAGTTCTCAAACTGCGATAGAAAAATGGAAGTGAAACTGTAGAAGATTAGGTGCAAATGTTTGTGTATTTAGACAGCAAATTCTCTTTTAGGCATGTCTGATTAAATAAATTTAATGCTAATTTTTAGAATAATCCGTCCATATTCACGGGTATGTTTCCGTGTATTACAATCAAATGATGCAAGAAATGCAACGTAATAGTGAAAATCACTTTTATTTCCCAAGTACTTTCCAATTTAAAAGTTGTTAAGGTATTCTCTCCTGAGATTGATGCCACGTGTACGAAGCGTGGCACCAAATCCCAGGTCTTAAATTCCAAAGCCATTTCAATTAAAGAAAAAAATATACATGCTCAACCTTTCAAACAATTACGTGTCTATGAAAGTATTAGAATAGCGATAAGCCGTGCGATGTCTCGCTCGCTCTGTCTGTCGAGACATTAAGAGATAGTAAGTAAAAGTAAATAGAAGCAACTTGAAGAAACTATTGCTGGTCATCAATAATCGATTAACAAGCAAGAATTGTAACTAATTCCTTTTTAAATACTCCGACATTTATTTATATCCTCTTTAGATAAAAATCGAAAAATAACACTCGTATGCTGATTGGTTGGTTTCGTTTCGTTTGGTACGTTGATTGGGTGATTTTGTTTGGTTTCGTTTCGTATGTTGATTGGTTGGTTTCATTTTGTATCGTATGTCGATTGGTTGATTTCGGCATATCATTTAATATGGGTTACTCAATACCGAAATCGAAATATTTTGAATGCAATTGTATACCTTCAACTATAGATAAAATGTATTGATGGCCATCTTACTATAAATGCGTACTGTTGATTTCTTTTATAGAAAAATGCATTGCTGGTATTTTTACTATAAATTTTCATAGTGTTTTGCTTTTGTTTTGGGGTTCACTATTTGCCCATAGCTGGGACCCTAACAGGTGCTATTACCCCGGGACAGGGTTGACATCTAGATAACAGCAGTTAAGAGGTGGTTCCACACTCCTCAAAATCTCCAATCTCCCGATCAGTGATCTTGCTGCCGGATGTAGTATATCGTCGAATTCGTATGTTAACAGCTTGTGCATGAAAAGTCATTTTTGCACTTGTTTACTCAGTAAGAGGCCCAAGAGCCTCTCAAGTTTGAGTGCTACTGAATGTAGCGCTAGGTCAAAAGTATGTGGCTCACAGTGAGGATCGAACTCCCTTTTCAGTCGTAATTGATCTATCGAGAAAAGCTTGTTAACCATTACACCATGTAGAAGTGCCCAAGGTGAGTGGTATAGACGTAAGTTTGATTGATTTATTTGTTTTATTTTTAAGGCTTGTCAACCCTTTGTTGGTTATTCAGAATCTAAAAATAATTCGGATTTTAAGAGATAGTCTATAGCCACCGATGTCTCCATGCGGTTTCCCATCTCAGTACTGACCGCGCTCGATACTGCTTAACTTCGGTGAACGGTACAGACGTAAGATGAGCCAATGGGAACTGAAAGTTATAAAGATATTCAAAATATATAACGTTTGACTCCAGACTTGAAGAATTCAATATTGTTGTATTCGGGGAAGCATATACACGAGAGTCTCTTCCACAAAGAAGCGGTTCGTGGGAAGAAACTGTCTGAAAGAAACTTCTTACTTACAAATGGAATATGAAGGGAGTAAAGGTGATTCGACGTAGTTGTGGACGTAGCATGGCTAAAAAAAAATGGTGCCACTAATGAATGTAGTTCGTCAGAACATTTGCCATGGAAATAGCGATAGAAGAGTGATGGGCTTACGATGTTGCGTCTGAGAGGAAAGGGGTGGTAGGATGGAAAATAGGTTATCCACCACAATGCCATATAGGAGCTTTTGTATACTGTCAAGCCTGGAAAGCGAGATTTTGGCAGCTCCAGCCGAGATATGATAGCAACACTCAATTTTTGGTCTGAGCTGACTTGTAAAACAAGACACCCAGAGTCAAGTATTTCCAGAAATAGTTCAAGGAACCAGGGTTTGTTTTTTTCATTATCTTTTGCGAATGGTCGTATAAACGAGTTTCATTTGAGATTTGAGTAGCACCTGAGTCCTAACTGACGTTCAAAGCAAAGAGCTTCAAAATGCAACCGTTCACCATGACTGAGGATCAAGTTAATACTTCATA